GTTCTATCAGCTCTATTTGACACAATGGAATAGAGTCTGGGTAGCACTTATCAAGCCAAGTTTTCTTGTCACGGTACTATATTTTTTTTTCGATTTTCAAGATTGTTCTAGATATATAGAGAAATAGTTCAAATGCTTTGAAATGTTGAAAAATATTATTAGACAGGTTGTCATTTTTTTAAATTTGTATAGACTTTTTATTGCTATACTGGTGCTATACTGTCATTCTATGGACTTATCAGCCGATGTGTAATTTGCGTAGTGTTTGATCTATTCAGTCATATTTTTTCCTTAATATATTTGTGTTTACACTTCCTCGGTGTTGTTAAATACCATTTACTAGGTTGGCTGTTTTTTTAAATTTGTATAGACTTTTATTTGGGGTGCTATACTGTCATTCTATGAACTTATCATCCGATGTGTTATTATTTGCGTAGTGTTTGATCTATTCAGCCATATTTTTTTCTTAATATATTTGCGTTTACACTTCTTCGATGTTGTTAAACACCATTTAACAGGTTGGCCTTTTTTTTTAAATTTGTATAGATTTTTTATTAGTGGCGCGCTATATTGTCATTCTACGGACTTATCATCCGATGTGTTATTATTTGTGTAGTGTTTGATCTCTTCAGCCATATTTTTTCCTAAATATATTTGTGTTTACACTTCTTCGGTGTTGTTAAATACCATTTACTAGGTTGACCTTTTTTTTTTAAATTTGTATAGACTTTTTATTAGTGCTGTTATACTGTCATTCTATAGACTTATCAACCGATGTGTTATTACTTACATAGTGTTTGATCTATTCAGCCATATTTTTTTCAAATATATTTATGTTTTTACACTTGTCCGGTTTGTTCATTGCCATATAATTTTTGTTTGTGGTTTCTTCCTATACAAACTTAAAATGGAATTTAAGTAATCAATAAATTTAAAATAAACTTTATTTCACTTCATGCAGTGAGCAGCATATTTCATATTTATTATGCAAATTTTCTGATAATTTAAAATTTATGTTCATTATGTCAATAAATTCTAACCACATACGTTGGCAAATGCTTAATAAAAACTGTGCAGTGAACATAAATAAATTATTAGAAAATTAAAATGCATACAACCAAACCGACAAATTTTAACTAATTTTATACAAATTACAGCAAATACTATTTTTCGAATTGATTATTTTGTCGTTCCGCTTGTGCTGTTTCACAAATATTATTACTTACATATTGCATTCATAATAAAAATGCATATTATTACACATAACTTTATTTACAATATTTAATGTGAAAACACAACAAATTTGACATTTGGCCCATACCATCAAACTTTTTATGTATACATTCTAACCACGTATTTAAACTACAATTTATTTGCTAATAAATAATTCATGCACCCGAATAAATACACCGAAACTTCAGATACAATTTATACGCAAAATCCACCTCGTGTGTGCAATTTACACTGCGTAAGATACTCGTATACCATAGATTGGCGTACTAATCCCCCGCACTGTGTGCATACTCCAACCTTTGCGCTATGTAATGTATTTTCGTTGTGTTAAATATAAAAATTTTTCATTGTTATTGAGTGTTGACAGCTTAATACCAACGTAAATATAACGTAAATAATGTGTTTCTTGTAGATACAAATTAATCCTGCTGTTTTTATTGCTTCATTTAATTTTTATATGAATTTGAATTACAAGTCTACGTTTATTTACACTCGTGTATTGAAAAATACACCAAAATATATCTATATATATATATATATATATATATGTATAGGGCAGAAAGGGAATTCTACAAAAAATTGTAATTTAATTATTTATTTTGTAACAAATTATTATTGAAAGCTTCGAATAAAAGATATTTTTGTCTTTTAGTTTTTATGTAGATTTTAATATTATGCTCCGACAGCGCACAATGTTATATGGTATAGTACGAGTATCTTGAATTTGTGCATGTGGTGATGTTGACGTTGAAAGCGCATAGTACAGCGTTTTGGGAACGTCATCAGCCTGTGGAATGACCTCGTACAATACAACTTTAATTTCGTCTGGAAAAATGTCAGATGACACCCAGCCTGAACTGATATTTTACAATATCAAAAAATTAAATAAAAACAAATATTTTTTTTCATTATAAAACTTTTGAAAATGAAAAACTTATTGTTGTTTTTATTTTAGTCTTGAGCGTCATTACTTCTTGTCTGCAAATTTCATGAACGGCACACAACGCAAATTTTGTGGGAACATTAATGTTCAAATTTGGATACGAGGTCTGGAGATTGACTGTAGCCTACTAAACTGTCTGCGCTGTTAAATCAAATGCCCCGCGAAATTAAGTTTTCGCATATTTTTATAAGAACTCTGTGTACAATAAATGGAACCCATAAAATTTGTGTTTACAACATCGTTTTTGTCGTGCATGGGCATATCTATCAAATTACCATCACGTAGAATACCAGCGCGTTATTTATAAGTACATCGATGCCTCCTAACTGCTTGTCTATCCAATCAAATGCTTCCCTTCTTACACTTGTTGCGCTTTAGTCACACGATGTTGATGATAATAAACATTTTGTTGTTGCTTTAGAGGCAATGACATGTTGAGTAACTTTATGTGTTTGTTGGTACGACGCGTTAGCCCAACGAATTTTATGCCTGCAGATACAATTTCCTTGGTACAGGCTGCTCCGTTAACAGACCTTGCACCTGTCCTTACAGCGATACACTTTCGCCAATGTTCCGTTTAAGTTTTATTTTAAATAAAGTTATTTTAATGAATAAATAAAATTAAATAATAATATACTTTAAATAAAATTAATTAAAAAATTATTTTGAAATAAAATAAAAATAATAAAAGAAAACATAACAAACAACATGAAAACATAAAAAAAAACTTTAAATAAAATTAATTAAAAAATTATTTTCAATAATAATATGAAACGTAATGAAAATATAATATATTCATTTTAATTTCATTTTAATTTTCATAAAAAGTTGTGTAGAAAAAAACAAATAATAATAAAATAATCAAAATAATAAATTAATTATACTTTAACAAAAAACTCATTGAATGCATAAAAAACTTGCTCCAAATAAATTTGTTTTAATAAAAACTATTTTATTCCAATAAATTTCAATATTATTTTAAAGCCATAAAACTCAATTAATAAATTTATTTTATATTTCTATATATTTTATATAATGTAGTAAAATTATGTTAATAACGAGCTGATTATTTTTTTTCGCTTTTATCAATGCTTCTGGCTGATTCTAAATTGACCATTCTTCTACCCATTATTATGAGCAATTAAGGAATCCAAACGGCTCTCTTAGCTAATTGAGGAGGATACGTTCCTTCCTCCACTTCAACTAACTAACAAACTGATTATATCAACATTTATACTTGTCTTTTTTAATAAACAATAATTAAAGATGGACAAGACGACTATCTCTCTGCTTGTTGAAAATGAACACATCTTCATAATTGTGTAGAATTTGTCATATATAACTCTTAATTAAATATTCAATATTTCATGTTTAGATGATTACTCTCAAGTTATATCAATCTACTATTGCGCGTTCACACTAGATTAACTTTGATTTTATGTTCGAATGCAATTACACATACTTTTCGAATATTGTATGGATTTGTGAATTTATGAGCGTGTATAAATAAAACTTGCCGAATACTAATCGGTATTGCTGCTGGTTGACAAATAAAGTTAAATTTCTATGAGTTAAGCAAAATATAGAAAACCATAAAAAATAATGTTCGAGTTTTTAGAACAAACTTAACCACAGTGGTTGTTTTAATTCAATGATTTAATTGCTAACTACAGGTGTATCATAGAGAAAACAATTATAAATAATGTTCCAAATTTTAGAATACACTCAACCAGAAAAGTCTATGTTTAAATTCGATGTTTTTAAAATACACTATAGGTATACATTAGAACTTCATGTATGATTTGAAATAATCTAATTTTCGAAGATTGTGAACTTCGAGTATGTTTGCTCTTATCGAACAACTCAAAATTTACGAGTACAATACAAAAAAAAAACGAAAATAAAACAGCATATTAGCAAATGAACTGTCCGAGTCATTCGAAATTCATTGAGTAGCTCGATATTTTCGAACATGTTAAGTGTTCGATCCAAATATTTGAGTATGTTCGAGCTACTTAAATATCATTAGAGCAGGAGTATTTATGCATTACATATTATATTAAAAAAAATTAGGAATTTAGTGGAAACTACACATCGTAGTAAATAAGTAAATAAGTAAATAAATAAATAAATAATTGGTCTTGCTGCTATGTTTTCTATGTTTAAACAGTTCTATGTTTTTCCATGTTTTTTTATGTTTTTTTTTTTGAATGTTTCTCTATTCTAATTCATCTACTTGTTTGAATAATTGAAGTTGGGAGTTTTTTTCGGATTAATTAGTGTTTTTGGTAGTGTTACTTCATTTGTTTACAATATTCCTTTTTTTTTTTGGGCGACGTTGGGAATTTTTTTTGAATTTATAAATCTTTTTGGTGCTGTTCATTAATCTATTTTTAACATCTTTTTTTATTTAATATTTTTGATGATATTAGTGAGACTTTGACTGAGTACTAACTGCTTGCGTAAATTGAAAAAGGGGTTTACTTCACAATATACATGAAATCAATTTAAATGGTCATTTATATGCAAATATAGTGCTGTTGATGATTTTATTGAAATTGCTGTAATATTACTACTAGTTTTTAATTTGGAAATTTGTGTTTGGTGTTGTGATCTTAAGCACGTACATTCACTTGATATATGCAGTCAATAATTTTAACGTCCGTATCTTGAGAAATCATATTTACATGCATTTTAAATGAGGTGTAAAAACATAAATTCTTGCAAAGCCTTTTAATTTGAATGTTTATTAACTTACCTATATTACAATTATTGTAGAGATAATAATAATAAAAACTATTTATTTATTAAAGTATATATGTAGTACATATATTTTATTGAGAATTTAATGTTGTGTAAAATTATAATTCCTAAAGTAAAATCATTTGCTTAGATGATTGGTACTAAGATAATAAATTCGCATTCGTAAAAATTACTTTACTCTACTCAGATACGTTTTTTTTTAAACTTAATACCATTCTCCCACAGCTCGCAATGTTATCTCTTGAACTTGAGTGTGTGGTGGCGTTGACAGTGCGTACATCACTGCATTAGCAACATCGTCAGCTTGTAATATAACATCGCCCAATTCAGTTTTCGTCTCGTCTGGCACAATTTCTGTTGATACCCAACCTGGGCTGATATTCTACAATACAAAATGAAAAAAAAAAAAAAAACAAAAAAAGCGGGAATGATAAGAAAATAAATTGTTATCACAAATTGCTTGGGAAACTACCACTTACAGTTGTTTTTATTTTAGTCTTCAGTGTCATTAATTCTTGTCTGCAAATTTCATTAATCGCATTCAAAGCGAATTTTGTTGGTGTATACACATTCAAACTGGGATAGTCTGGTCCTGGATTGTAGCCGGCTAAACCAGCTGTGCTGTTAATGAAAATCAAATGTCCAGGAAAACTACGCTTTTGCATACTTTTAAACGCACTCTGTGTGCAATAAATGGGAGCCATGAAATTAGTGTTCACCACATCCTTTATATCATGCATTGGCATTTCTACTAAATTACCATCACGTATGATGCCTGCATTATTCACTAGTATATCAGTGCCACCCAATTGCTTTTCAATCCATTCAAATGCTTCTTGTACTTGTTGCTCCTGCGATACATCACACTGACGATAGTAAAAGTTTTTTTGCTGTTCTGTCGTTAATGAATTTTTGAGTGATTCCATGCGTTCCGTGCGGCGTGCAAGTCCAACGACTTTTATGCCCGCGGCTACAATTAGCTTGGCACAAGCGGCACCAATACCAGAACTAGCACCGGTGATGACAGCGACGCGATTTTGCCAACGTTCCATTTCAATTATATTTCAATTAAAACTATTTAAATTGAATGTAAACAAATTAATTATTTGCGAGTATTAAGTATATCTGCTAAGTATTCCACTCGTATCTGTAGCAAATGCACGACTGTTTAGATAATACAAATTGCTGCTCTTATAATTAATTTAAACAGCTGATAATAACGTAGTTGCAGATAAGCTGTGTGATAAGTGGCAAGTGTATTGGTGTTCGCGATAATAGCTGAAAAAAAAAATGATTTAGGCAACAAGACTTGTAAAATGCGCTACTATAGCGTATATCTATATATTGGAAGACATAATATATTATATTACAAGATACTATATATTATATTTTAAAATGCAATGTATTATATTGTAGGGTACATTATATTATATTATAAGATACAATATATTATATTGTTGAACACAATATATTACATTGTATTATATATATTACATATTACAAGATACAGCACATTAAGTTGCCTATGATAAATTGACACATTATTGAAGTAAACTAAAATTTATTAAATGTAGATTTCACATAAATAAATAATTGCTTTAGGAAAATTGTTACTCATATGAGTATACAAAATCGTAAGAAAAATAAATAGCTTTTTACTACAGCTCGATGGCTCTTTTCGAATTTACATCATAACAGCAATAGCGAAAACATCAAAGAGTCACTGCGTTATAACCCTAAGATATCTATCTTGTTTCCATAACTATAAGCTAATTATCTTATAAACATAAGATAACCATAAGATAAGCAATAAGATTGAGCCACCTAGTAAGAATATCTGTTGTTAGAGCGAATACTTATCAACGAAAGAAGAAAGGGGAGTCTCAAAAATGTACTTCCTTTTTTTATTTGTCGATTTTAAAATACTGTGAATACTCGTACCAGATTAGCGAAAAGAGTTGGCGCATAGAAAAGAAGAGAGTGAAGTCGTTAATAATTTTAAAATAATTAAGAAAATATTTTATTAAAGTATTTTAATAATATTATTAAAATTAACATTAAACATATAGATGGTTAAACAAAAAAATATCTGATTCAGTTATTTATTTCTAGTAGTTAGAGATTGTTAATAGTTCTTAGTTCATCTCTATCCAAGTTGCACACGTACTGAAACTATGTTCAACATAATAGTATTAATAATTTCCGGATAACAAAAATATCTGACAAGAAAATATTTACAAGTTTATATGAATCTAATATATCTGCGCTAATTTAAATTACAATTTACACCAGGGCAGCATATAAAAAAATATATTTAATTGCTTGATGTAGGGTATAGATTCTTAAACTCTTTTTTTATTTACCTAACTTAATATTTCTAATAGGTTATAATTAATTTACATTCGTGTCTCTTATTACTCTAAACTTTTATATTATAACTCTTTCGATAAATTTTTATTTTAATAAAATATTAAACAAATATTTTATTAATTTTTTTATTATTTATTTTTTTATTTTATTATATGGAAACCAGATTGACGTGGTCGTTGATTACTGCTTGATTAAAAAAAAAAACGTATGATGATGAGTTCAGACGATAAAGTGGGTGTTACTAAAAGTTTATTGACATTTTTAGAATAAGATAGAAAAATATTGAAGTAAAGTAAAAAATCTTGTTTAAATTTTTTTGTTTGGTTAGCAGAATTCAAAAATAAACTTCGTATATTTTTAGGGGAGTTTGGAAAAAACTTAACAGTTTAATACCATGTTTCCACTTGTCTCATTAAGGCCGCTAATGAGAATAATTTAATATACAAAGAGCTTTTATATAAATGACCTCACTATAAATAAAACGATATAAGGCGAAAAATGTCAATTCCCAAATGGAAATGTTCAAAATTTGAAATATTTCTTATATGTGAAATATAAACAAATAAGCTATTTCTTATGCTTAAATCAGCTTATGCCAATGGAAATAACCAAATCTTAATTTCATAAACAAAAGTAGTTCTAACTGGATTGGAAATATAATATAATACTTGAGAAAACATTATTCGAATATATATAAAATTATAATTTTGAGATACATACAATCTAAATCTTTCAATAATGCAATATATTGATATTTATTCATCAATAGTATTGTCAATACATATGGCAAGAGTTAATCACAATTTTGTGATCTAGATAAAGTGGCCATTCACATGATATTTTTACTATTTTAAACGGTCAAAAGAGAAGTGCTAAAAAGAAAACAAATAATTTCAGGAGAATTTAAGGGGATTGAAGATAAGAGTGTACCAAATATTTAAAAAAAAATGCTATAACTTTTTCTAAAATTGACTTTCCTCAATCGGCTTGAAAACCACAAATATAGATATAACAGTTATATATAACAACAAATAAATTATTAATGTATGAGAAAATTTTTTCTATTTAATAATCTATAATATATATTTTCAATTCATTATGTTTACCCCAGAGTTTTTGTTTTTTGTATAACAAAACCATTCTCGATGATTAATATTCAACTACAATGGAATTATTTTTTGTATCCCCAGAGTTTTCCATTAAATATTTTTTATTTTTTCCTTTTTTTTTAAATGACAATTTACATTTCAGCACATTTTAAGTGAAATCAATGATGCAAACAAACTGAATTATTTTTCTTTGGAATATTTTATGAAGAATTGCGGTTTATCATTTTTTTAAGGAATTTTTATATGAAATAATAATTGGCTTGGCTACGGCACAAAAGTCATAAAGCAAAACGTAGCAATTTAGTCGCAGCACATCTAACAATGAAAAATATGTTTCCATCAGTACAGATAAATGTTAGCAAAGTTTAATGGTCCTTACAAATCCTTTGTGGGGCATAAGAAAATTCATTTGTGTCTTTTGTAAATTGTTTATTAAATTAAATATATTTCTTTGTAAAAATTTATATATTTTTTACGCAATTGTACCGATGCTTCTTAACCTTTATATACATTTTTATTTTTTAAATTTTTATTCATATGAAGAGTTTGAAGTTTTTAATATATATTAAATTTATATATTTTTGTTTTTAAATTTAAAAATAAATATTGAATGAATGCAGACTACCTTTTATACAATTATATAAAAATAAGAAAAAAAGATACAAAAAAAATAAAATAAAATAAAATAAAATAAAATAAAATAAAATAAAATAAAATAAAATAATTTGATTTGATTTATTTTAATATAAAGCTTTTCTAATATTAACGTATGAACACAAATAAAAAATATATATTTAATTTCTGTATATTCATAAAATATTTTTCAACGAAGGAAAGATTAAGGCTAATGAAAAAACCAATATTAATTTAATAATGATCAAAAAAATTAATATTAAATATTATTAATTTCATTAAAATTAAATTAATATCCATAAAATTATATATAAAAATACATATCAGTTTTTGTTAAAAATTTTATTTCCGGTCAGATAGATGAAATACCGCTCTAAATGACAAAATAAATCTAAAAGATATTAAGGAAGAAGAAGCATTAATAAAAAGTAAGATTTGCCAATAAAAAAACTACACGAAAGATATTTTTTTAAAAAAATTGAATTTATTTATTTGTTTTGCACATCATATTTTCAGTATTAATATTCTTCTTACCCTTAGTAGGTGCAATAATTTAATAAAAGCAACAGCCCCATAACATATTTAGTAGTTACGATTATTGAGACGATACTGTGTATTTTCTAAATATTTAGTAGTTACGATTATTGAGACGATACTGTGTATTTTCTAAATATGTACATTAATTTTTCTATGATTTTTAATAAACTATAAGAAATAATGAATAATTAAAAAAATTTTAAATTAAATATAAATATAATTTATTTAAATGAAATATAAATATATTTATAAATAATATATATTAAATGAAATAATAAATAATAAATAAAATAATTTATTTATATGACATAAAATTTCGTTATATGGACATACAATTTTGAAAATATTTTAATATTGTCTATAAAGTGTATTTACTTTAACAAAATAAAAAATTATGCATATATACAATTATTTTAAATGATAAAAAAGGATAATAATAAATGAAAAAACAAGGTTCAAAAAATTAAAAAAAAAATTTAAAACAATGAAAAAAATCTCCAGGGGACACCCGGGTTTGAACCGGGGACCTCTCGATCTGCAGTCGAATGCTCTACCACTGAGCTATATCCCCATGAAGAACACCGACGACAACATTTTAGTGCTTTATGACAGCATTCTAAGTTTTAGATCTATTTCGGAAAAGCTTAATTTATTACAAAAAATTCTTAAAGCTTTTTATTAGTGATATTGGCGAAGTAAATATGATCTCATCTTAATGTTAAACGAACACCAATTTTATTTACTCTTAATTTGCACGTACAATCTTTATAATAAATATGAATAATTAAACAATTAAACGAAAACACTTGTTTTCATTAAATTTTGTTGATTTATATTATTTTTATTTTTTAAAAAGAAAAATATTTAACACAAAGCTTTAACGATTTTAAAAGCACTAAATCTGAATAGATCAATCGTAATAAAAAAAAGGAAATGATATGGGTTCATAAATAATTCGTATTCTCAATTTACAGTCTCGTATTCTTCTTCAAGTTATAGTTGGTGCAACGGTTCTAGAACCTGGCAGATTGCATGTCAGTGCCCACCAAGCAATATTGCTTTGTAATCTTATAAAGTGCCATTTGTATTTCGCCTGTCAGAACCCGCAGATAGGTCATCACATTTGCAAGATACCTTGGAGATATGAAGGTCAAAATAATAGATTGTATTGTAATGTTACTCCTCCACTTCTTCCACTGCTTTTATTCTAATACTAAATACGCCAAATTTTCTAGACTTACTTATATCGCTGCAGTTCGAAGTCTGTTTAAGTGAAATAAAAGTGCCCCTAGTCGTATCGATTCTGACAATAATAACTTTCTCTGATCCGGTTTTATTTGTTAAAATGCTCCGGTATAAGTTACTGATTGCACACATTGGTCTGATAGTCTAACTCGAATAGTCTAACCAATTTTTTAAATTGTGTTGTTAATAAAATATTACACTTTCGCTAAGCAGATATAACAAGCAAATTGAATTTTTTCCAATATATCTTCCTAAATAAGCAAATAAGCATAATGCTAGACATAGTTATACTACCATATAAACTATGCTCAAATTTAACAAAGGTCTATTTTATCAAAAATATCTTCACACACAGTTAAAAGCAAGGTAGCACACGCACAATTGATGTATTCTTGTGACAACGCATCTTAGCTTATATTAATAAAAATAAAATATACTATATAAAATTCATACATAACTTCAAAAACTGCATTAACATTAAATATATTCCCAAATTTTTCTTAAAATACTTAAACTAAAAATAGAACTGTCCCTAAAATCTACTACCACAAAAATCCAATATTTAATTAAGTATTTCAAAATTTGTGGTTTAATTTGTTTATTTTTTCGATAGGCGAACATTAACTCCACCTTTTGGTACAATAAGAATTGAATAGTTATCGATTTCGATATCTTGTTTTGGCATTATTTCAATATTGAAATTTTGTAAAATCTTTACTACACCCAATTTAGAATTAATTTTACCCATGCGTTGTGCTATACAATGACGTGGACCTTCACCGAAAGGCATATAAGCTTTGGGATTGTAATTACTATTTTCAGGTAGAAAACGTTCTGGAATATAGATTTCTGGATCTGGAAAATGTTCCGGATCACGATGTATACCAAATAGAGATATAAGAACATTTGTTCCCTTCTTGATAATTTTATCACTGCCTGGTATTTGATAGTCTTGTGTGCAAATACGATTCATTAATGGCAAGCTAGGATACTTTCGTAAAGTTTCTAGAAAATATAAAGATATATTATGAATATAATATGATTATCAATAACTTACCATTAATGCACAATTCTAGGTACTCCATTTTTTGCAAAGTTTCGTAAGTAATTTTCCCATTATTTTCAGCTAAAACTCTATTGACCTCTTCGGTAACTTTTTTCAGTATATCAGGATATTGTGCGAGTTCAAAGATAGTTAAAGCAGCTGCTGAGGCTGTAGATTCTTGACCAGCAATGTAAAATACAAACGCCTGTGCTGTTATGGTTTCAATTGAAATATTTTCAATGAAACTTCCTGCTTTCTTTGTTACTTTAGCATCGAAGTTATCATCTTCCTCAATTTTACCGGTATTTTTTAATTGCATTAATAGCTGCAACATGTCCTTACGTACAATATTATGTTTTTCACGATATTCGATAGTGTCCTTTACTATTTTAAGCATTTCTAATGCCACTGGATTCTTCAATCCAAATTTACGGAACAAAAATTTAACCAACCTGAAATAATTGTTCGTAAATATATATAATATTCAATTAATTGTATTACAAATATGTAATTATGTTCATACGATATTAGGTTAGTATATATATACTCGTATTATGACATACTTGTTATATTCTTATTATTCTATTTTCTACTTCAACTTCAGTTTACTTACGATGGAAACAAATATAACAGCATACCCAAAATTGCGGCAGGATGTGTATTTTTGTGGGATAAACGAACTATATTTCTAAATTTGTTAGTAGGGTTCTCGAAACTGTTGATATCCAAACCAAAAATGGTTGAGCCTATAATATCAATAGCATAACTACAAAATAACAAAAATATTATTTACATATTATTAAATGATAACAAAATATTCTAAACTTACGTTGTAAAAATTTCCTTTAAATCAATCTTCATAGTACCCTTTTCCGGTATCAGTGTATTTAAATGGGCAATCATTCTATCGCCTACTTCCTCTGAAGTACTGAACATTGCCTTTAATTTTCCGGATGTAAAAAGTGGTGCTAACTTAATACGCATATCACGCCAACTTTTGCCTTCTAATGAGAATATATTTGCTGAAAGTGGATCCTTTTCTTCATCCACATATATGCCACGATCATGGAAACTAGCAAAATCCTCTGCCAATACATGACGTACTAAATCAACATCACGTACTAGAATCGCCGGTCGGAATAATAAATAAACACCCAAAAAACGTTCTTTCGATCTTAAGTAGACATCATACATTGTCATACCCATAGACTTCTTATGTTTAGCGACGGATTCCAAACAACCGTATGGTATTTTACTATTCTGATCATATGGAAAATTCTGACGTTCCCAAAATGAATATATGCGTTTTACATAGTGAAATAAAATCACTGCTAGAACCACTAAAATCAAAATAATCATTTTTGTTTATAAACAATACTTCTTATACGTTTAAGACTTCTCATATGACTGACTGTTTTAAAATACTTCTTACCTGTTATTTATATGTTCTAAAATTTGTGAACATGAGATACTCTCTTTCGCACGCTAATATTTGTTTATATATTTTGGAAAACTTTACTTTAGGCGTTGCTACAATTATTGTTGGGATAATGTATTCACAGTTCATTCTGATACTTTGCATTATGTCTATGCAATAATAATCCTAGTTTTCGTCACAATCTATGGAAACACCAAGGAAGTAAACTAGGGGTGTTTACTTTAGTGCAAAGTTGCAAGCTGTAGTCTGTAAATTATGGTCCATGTATATATAATTTTTCCATATTAGAAATATAAATAGATAAATTAAAAATATGATTTTTTGTGTGCTGTTAATAAAAATGTTGACTCGATTATCAGAGCACGCACCTTTAAACAATTATATGTTTGAACTCAGTACATTAACTGAGTCCTCTAACAACGTGGCTATAAGTTTAAATTTATTAGTGTAAGTTCTCTTCAGTAAAAAAAGGGAAATATTGAATTCAAGTCTGTGAATTTAAAAATGTTTCACTGTTTTATCGTATGCTTATAGCTAAACTCTAGATAGGAAGCTAATCTCTATATAAGTCCACGGATATGATAAACCATGAATCTTATATGTATGATTCATTTAAGCACTTGTGATTGGCATGACGAAAGGTATTTGAGAGAGATTTTCAGGAATCGTACCATAAGCAACGCAGTCCTACAACAAAGGCATCGACTAATTGTTTTTGGTTTAAAGTTAAAGCCAAGGCTTAATCTGAAAGCTGAAGCTTAAAATTTATTTTTCATTTATCATTTAACTAAATTATTTGTGTCATTATTAATATTTTGAGATCCTTATTTAAAATTTTTATTACAAAATATAATTGTTCTGATTCAGTCATATATTTTTAACGTCAAATATAAGTCGACCATTAACAAATAATCTCAAAATGTCGACACATTCTGAGAGTATATAAAATATTTCTTTCTCCAGATATGAAAGCGAAAAATTTTATTTGATAACATTTGAATATTTTATTTGTGATTAATATTTATGCATTTGTTATAAACATATTGAAAATAAAAAAAAAAATTGGTTGTTTGAATAATGCAATTTTATATGAATTTTGATGAAATTGATTGGAGGCCTCTCCAGTCAATTTGATAAACGTTATATTTAGTCAAATCAATATTATAAACATAAACAATGCTGATAAAGATTATTTTTATATTTATTTCTGTGTTTTATTATTAGGTCAATAATTTTTTGGTTTAATTAGTTTACAAATAAATTTCTTAACTTTATGTTAGGATGTCGTAAATATATTATGGAAGTTATTATTTAGAGATCTCCCCAATTAGGGCACAATCTGGTCTCAAAGAAAGAACATTCAAAAATAGAAGAGGGGATGTTCTGACCTAAAATAGAGGACATTCGTTCAAAAGGATGATTTCCTTTTCTTCGGTTAGTATAAAAGTTAAAAAAAATAAATGTTATTATTAGATAGCTCTTAGCTGTATTTTAATTGGAACTGTTTTCTTTATTATTATGTTGTAGTTGTGGTTGTGCAAAGTAGAAACTGTAGAGGTATGCACTCTGTTACAAGTAAGAAACAAAAATTGTTGGAGGTCTATTTGGTTTCTGATCTAACACAGCTGTCATCTCTTAAAATTACAGACATATTCAAATTTGGAGACTTGTCAGGGACCCATGGCTTTTTAACGCTTACCACATGAAATCACTCTTTATATTTTTTGTTGATGGTCTTTCAGTACTGTCGTATGATGAATTCTTACACATGTGAATTTATTTGTGGTCAAGTGCACTTCGACGCCAAAGACTGGCACTTTATTCTAATCTAAAAGATGTTCAACTAGTGTCATATTTGGTTTTAAAAATCCAATATTCCTGCCTAATAGATCATCGTTATCAGCACACCTGATCGCTGGTGATGAATTTTTGAAAACTGTCCCTTGGTGTTTATTTTCAAGAGGCATACTATCTTTATGAGACGGAATATAGAAAGTCAGCACTAGTGACTTTCTTTGTTTAACATTCATGTTTGTAAAGAATGTTTTAAATACCGCATTTAAATACCGTATAATCTTTACAATCAATATATTACGTGGTGTTTCGTTATTACCTGAACGCAATAAATAGATGATATAGGACTAAGTTGTTATATAAGTTATAATCATATATTATGTGGCCTTTTAATAATTTATTTTTTATTCATGATTATTTTATTTTTATTTATGATTTATGTTTTATTTAATTATTAAATGTTTTTATTTTTCATTATATTAACATAGCTAGAGACATTTTTTCTTAAAATTAATAAATATATAAAAAGTACTTGATAGTTTACCCAGTAGTGTAAAATATTAATAAAATAAAATTATTTCTATTAATAATTACATAATTGATTTATTTAATATAATAATTTATTAAAAATAATGAATAAACATTATAGAAATTGATTTTGAAAATAATAACAAATTTTTATTTAGTTATTATTCGAATGCTTTTATTCTATATATCTTTTCCAAATAATATTGTAAACAATTTTATGACAAATTATGTATTTTCTATTTAATATAATATTGATTTCTATTATTTTATTCATAGAAGAAATCACTTATATAATTATTTTTAAATAAGATAATAATGTTTACATATATTTATGGGTCCCAATACATACAATTTTCTTTCTGTTTATCTCATCTTATTTCATCATAATAATTAGATAAAAAATATATTGAAGTATTTAAATAACAAAGAACCCATAAAACTAATCCAAACTAAATAGAATTTATTTTTCATATAAGATAAATAATTTTTGTATATTAAAACATATAAAAAAATATTTTTTATATTATTCAAAATATTTTATAATAAAAATATATATTTTAACCATTTTTTATTTTTGCCAAGTAAAATTAGGTATTTTTGTTCATTTAAATTAATTAAATAAAAAATAGGTATTTATAAGAAATATCACTCATTCATTTATACAAATCACAGTATGACTGTCAAATTTTTCTGATTTAAAATGGTGTTCAGTCATGAAACTACTTTTTTACAGATCTTCTCAATTCTTTTATATATACGTATATAAATGTACGTATATAAACATAATATTTATATTTAAATAATATATTGTATTTCTGCTTTTGCTTATTAATTTTTTATTTTTTGTTTTCAGTTAATTTTAACTGAATATTTTTATATAAATTTTAATATTTTTATATTTTGTTTTTGCATTTAAAAAAATTTTAATTCCAATAAAACTTTAAATTCACATTTATAAAAAAAATAATCAAATAAAAATATTTAAAAATTAAATGAAAATTATATTAACAAATAAAAATTACATTTAAAACTTATAATATTATTAAATTTTTAAAATTACCCACACCTATTTTACAAATATGGAATAAGTTTTTACTTTATTTAAAAAAATTAGCACAAAAAACATTTATTTATTATTTAAAGTAGAAATAAATGTTCATAAAGAAAACCGTAGTAATTTAATATATTAATATTAAAAAATTGATATATATCCTTTAATTTGTTTTTTGCTTTTTCGATAGACGCACATTAATTCCACCTTTTGGTATAATCGCAATCGAATGATTATCGATTTCGATATCTTGTCTTGGCATTATTTCGACATTGAAATTTTGTAAAATTTTAACTACACTCAATTTTGAATTAATTTTACCCATACGTTGTGCTATACAATGACGTGGACCTTCACCGAAAGGCATATAGGCATTAGGATTATAGTTCCGATTTTCTGGTAGAAAACGTTCAGGATCAAAAGTTTCTGGGTCTGGAAAATGTTCCGGATCTCGATGTATACCATATAGGGATATAACAATAGGTGTACCCTTTTCGATTACTTTATCAGTGCCAGGAATTTGGTAATCTTGTGTGCAAATACGATTTAATAATGGTAAGCCAGGATATTTACGTAGAGTTTCTAAAAGATATTTAAATGTTTTAATAGTAAAATTAATTGAGTTTCTTTTTACTCACCATTCATACATAACTCCAAATACTCCATTTTTTTTAGGTTGTCGTATGTAATCTTGCCATCATTCTCAGCTAAAACTGTATTGACTTCTTCAATAACTTTTTTCAGTACTTCAGGATATTGTGCGAGTTCAAAGATTGTCAGAGCAGCTGTTGAAGCTGTAGTTTCCTGACCGGCGATATAGAATATAAAGGCTTGTGCTGCTATTTTTTCAATGGAAATGTTGTCAATAGTACTTCCAGTTTTCTTGGTTACATTGGCATTAAAGTTGTTATCATCTTCCTCAATTTTACCGGTATTTTTTAATTGCATTAATAACTGCAACATGTCCTTACGCACAATGTTGTGTTTTTCACGATATTCGACAGTGTCCTTTACGATTGCCAGCATTTCGTCGCCAACCGGATTCTTTAGACGAAATGTGCGCATTACAAATTTAAATATCCTAAAATAATTTATATAAAGTAATAAAACTTTAGATATAATATAGTAAGGTATTTTAAATATTTTATAATAAAAAAATATATAATATTAAATGAAATTAAACTTAAACGTAAATCGCCGCAACTTTTGAATCTATAGTATATTAATAAATATCTAATTTAACACATTAGCCTACTATTCCTATCAGAGATATTGATTAAATAGATTTATATTTTTTATCACCGTTTCAAAACTGATAGACGATAATGCATAAACTGTAAGATAAAGTAGCGCGGCTAGAAGTTATCATTATCATTTACAATATATTACGAAATAATTAACAAATATTTCCGAAAATTGTGCAATTTCAGTTTCTACTGAGTATCAATTATATAATCAATTTTAATGGTAATTAATGCCGGGTTATGTCTATATACATTTACATTATTTTATATACATATTTTCTTTCGTTTACTTTATTAAAACATTTTAATTGTCTTTTTAGAGTAACAAAAAATTTAAATCTAAATACATATATAATAATAAATACATATTTTATATAAATATTTTTAAATATGTATTTAAATATACATGTAAATATTTACAAATATATAATATATATACACAAAATATAAAAAATATATATCTAATATTACTTACGATGGACATAAAAATACACACATACTCAAAATTGCACTAAAATGTGTGTTCCTGCGAGCTAAATGAACTATATTTCGGAATTTGTTGGTGGGGTTTTCAAAGCTGTTGATATCTAAACCAAAAATTGTGGATCCAATAATATCAATAGCATAACTACAAACAAATATATTATTAATATATGTATTTTTTAAATAAAATATCAAGAACTTACGTGGTAAGAATCTCTTTCAAATCAATTTTGACACTACCCTTTTCCGGTATCAATGTATTTAAATGGGCAATCATTCTATCACCTACTTCCTCTGAAGTACTAAACATTGCCTTTAATTTTCCGGATGTAAAAAGAGGTGCTAACTTAATACGCATATCACGCCAACTTTTGCCTTCTAATGAGAATATATTTGCTGAAATTGGATCCTTTTCTTCATCCACATATACGCCACGATCATGGAAACTAGCAAAATCTTCTGCCAATACATGACGTACTAAATCAACATCACGTACTAGAATCGCCGGTCGGAATAATAAATAAACACCCAAAAAGCGCTCTTTCGATCTTAAGTAGACATCATGAATTGCCATACCCATGGACTTTTTATGTTTAGCGACGGTTTCCAAACAACCATAAGGTATTTTACCTTCATGATCATATGGAAAATTACGACGTTCCCAATATGAATATATGCGTTTTATATAGTGAAATAAAATCGCACCAAGTGCCACTAAAATCAAAAAAACCATTTTTGTTTAGATGTAAAACTTCCGATACGTTTGAGAATTTTCACTCGACTGTCGTAGTAATGCGGTTGGCTGTTACTTAAATTTCTTCCGAGCATAAAATGAAAACTAATACTAATAAAAACCATGTTCGTAAACAAAAATAATGTTCGGAAATATTATTTCTCTTTAAAAATAATATAGTGAGACTCTAATGTATACCTGCATCATCAGAAATGAGAGCAAATTATTTCGGCAGACAGTACAAGTAAATACCACGCATATGATTAATATTAATTCACTTTTGTTTTTTTTCTTCTTGTAACTAATTGTGAGGTTCACTAAGTATACTTATCACTATCGTCTATTAAATATTTATGATTAGTTTATCTATTAAGCGGCACCTTATCTGATATGTAGTCCAAAAATCAGTAGTTCATAAGCAATAATCAGTAAATAAATTCAAGTAGTTACACTTTTTGCTATAGAAATATATGCAAAGATAATAAATAATCATTATAAAATTTAGTGGTTTGGGTAATGCAATTGTCTATAGATTTTGATGAAATTCAATTTTTTTTAATCGATTACATTTATTAACAGTTTTTAATGCTATCAATAATATTGATATAAAAACAGGCGTTAAAAATGTGTTTTATGGCTGCCATAGTTTTTCGATAATTACTTGTGGATTTTCACTGTTTCAGATGTGACCATTTGCTATTTGAAGACATATGCACCAAGCGAAAAATTTATCCTAATATATAGAATTTATATCTATATAAATATATAGGATTAATTGGTTGGTCAGTTTGGTATATTTTTTTGTATGTTCTTACCAACCTTCAATGTTTCTTAATCTTTGTTTAAGGTAGTTGTTGCTGTTGTTGTAATTTGCTGGTATCTAGAAAGCATATAATATAAAAGGATCTACAAGACAAATACATGGGTTACAATGTAAGTAGATGATGATTGATAGAGGGTATCTTTAGAGTAAAGATACCCTCTTTACCCTCTTTATGAATGTTATATTAATCATTAAATTAGTGTTAGTATAAATGTTTTTTCTCTTTACAATTTTATATTTAGTTTTATTTATATTGTTTCGTAGTCCTAATTATTTGCTACTTAAGTGAACTTTGATAACTAGATCTTATAGACCTGCTAAACTGTTCACGATGAGAGTGATGTCTCCATATCTTACATAGTCAATTAATACATCCTTCATTTGACAACCAGTTCAATGTTATTTATTGAATCTTCAAATATATTTTTTGAGTTTATGTTGAATAAAAGGTTTGACAAAATGTATCCCTGCTTTATATTTCGTGACATGGCTACATCATCGGCCATATGACCATTGATATCCACGTGGGCAGTTTGTTGTCAGTATAAAATGTTTATGCAATGAACTTCTTTGTCACCTATTCCCAGATATTGTAGAATTTCCATAAGGTTATCATGTTTAACGATGTCAAAAGTTTTCTTATAATCGATAAAGCATAGAAATACATATTTCTGATCATCTTTACAGTTTTGAACTAGAACTATAATACATAATAAAGTCTTCCGAGTTCCAAGTCCTTCCTGAAAGCCAAATTGTGACTTGTTTACTTCTTCTTTACATTTCCTGTATATTCATAAAATATGTAGTAAAAATATATAGCTTGTAAATATTTCATAATTACTAACATATGTCCATATAATGAGAATATCAAATAAAAAAAAAAGAATGGAAGAATATAATTTTGATATAATAAAATGAAAAATAAAATGTTTAAGAATTAAAAAGAAATCATTTACAAACGACTTAAAATACATATTTTTTTATTTTTTTTTATTTATTCTATACATATACAGATATACATATTAATACATATATACTCTTTATTAGTAAGCATTTTGTATAAAGTTTTAATTAAATTTTTTCAAAAATATATTTGTTTAGATATGTTTAGTAATTTTACATTTATTATAAGTTTGTATTTATAGAGTATATTATTTAATTTATAAATATTTCTTAAAAGTACATGTATTCCATCTAAAAATATTTTGAATTTTGTATTCTTAAACTTGTTTTTCAATTAGAGAAATTAGTTTAAGTTTAATACGACACCACGTATATCAATATATTAAGGTTTTATTATTTTTACTACTTTTTGGTATTATCTATAATATAATTTTTTGAAGTTGAGAGAGTTAATTCTGTTAATTATTTACACATTTTTATTTACAATAAAAAAAATACAATAGAGTAAATTGTTTACATTTTTCATCATTATTTATTATTTATTAAATATTTTATTATATTACATTAATATTACGTTTCCAACTACTACATAAACATTAAAAACGATTAAAACAATGTTTTCAATTATTAATTAAACACTTAAATCAAATTGACTTTTCAAATAAAAGTTATAAAAATTTAATATATCATTAAATAATAATAATTTATATATAGTTTTTAATTTGTTGTTTGCTTTTTCGATAGACGCACATTAACTCCACCTTTTGGTATAATAGCAATGGAATGATTATCGATTTCGATATCTTGTCTTGGCATTATTTCGACATTGAAATTTTGTAAAATTTTTACTACACCCAATTTTGAATTAATTTTACCCATACGTTGGGCTATACAATGACGTGGACCTTCACCGAAAGGCATATATGCTTTGGGATTGTAATTACTATTTTCAGGTAGAAAACGTTCAGGAATATAGGTTTCTGGATCTGGGAAATGTTCCGGATCACGATGTATACCAAAAAGAGATATTACTACAGGTGTACCTTTTTCGATAACTTTGTCAGTGCCAGGAATTTGATATTCTTGAGTACAAACCCGATTTAATAATGGTAAGCCAGGATATTTACGTAGAGTTTCTATAAAATATTTTGATATATTTATTTATTTTAAATTTGGTTGAGTTAATATTACTGACCACTCATACATAATTCCAAGTACTCCATTTTTTGTAAACTTTCATAAGTAATCTTGCCATCATTCTCTGCTAAAACTGTATTGACTTCTTCAGTAACTTTCTTCAGTACGTCAGGATATTGTGCGAGTTCAAAGATTGTCAAAGAAGTTGTTGATGCTGTGGTTTCCTGACCGGCGATATAGAATATAATAGCTTGTGCTGTTATTTTTTCAATAGACATATTCTCAGTAGTACTTCCAGTTTTCTTGGTTACATTGGCATTAAAGTTGTTATCATCTTCCTCAATTTTACCGGTATTTTTTAATTGCATTAATAACTGCAACATGTCCTTACGCACAATGTTGTGTTTTTCACGATATTCGACAGTGTCCTTTACGATTGGAAGCATTTCGTCGCCAACCGGCTTTTTTAGATGAAATGTGCGCATTACAAATTTAAATATCCTAAAATGAATGTTTAAGAATATATACATTTATATTATTTTAATTTTATTTATTTCAGAAATAATTTATATAGAATAACAAAAGACGTTAGCTATAATATAATAAGGTATAATAAATATTTTGTAATAAAAAAATATATAATATTAAATGAAATGAATCTTAAATGTAAATCGTTGCAACTTATGAATCTAAAAACGTATATATATAAATAAATATCTAAATTAACCATTAGCACACTTTTCGTATCAGAGATGTTATTTAAATAGATTTATATTTTTTATCACCGTTTCAAAAACTGATAGATGATAATGCATAAACTGTAAGATAAAGTAGCCCGGCTAGAAGAAACGTTATCATTATCATTTGCAAGATATTACGAAATAATTTCAGTTTCTACTGAGTATCAATTATATAATTAATTTTAATGGTAGTTAATACCAGGTCGGCATGTTCTTTAGGTTTTGGTGTTTTTTATTTAGTTTTTAGAATTGCTTATATTGTTGCAGTTGAATAAATTCTTCATTTTTAGTAATAAAATGCATCAGAATGTTAAAGATATGTTACAAATAACATATACAATATATATATATATATATATATATATATATATATATAATACATATATAAATATATATCAAATCTAACATATATTAAATTATCTGAAAATATATATATGTATCTATCTAATAGTACTTACGATGGACACAAAAATACACACATGCTTAAAATTGCAGTAAAATGTGTGTTCCTGCGAGCTAAATAAACTATATTTCTGAATTTGTTGGTGGGATTTTCAAAGCTGTTGATATCCAAACCGAAAATTGTGGACCCAATAATATCAATAGCATAACTACAAACAAATATATTATTAATATATGTATTTTTTAAATCAAATATCAGAAACTTACGTGGTAAAAATCTCTTTCAAATCAATTTTGACACTACCCTTTTCCGGTATCAATGTATTTAAATGGGCAATCATTCTATCACCAACTTCCTCTGAAGTACTGAACATTGCCTTTAACTTTCCGGATGTGAAAAGTGGTGCTAGTTTGATACGCATATCACGCCAACTTTTGCCTTCTAATGCGAAGATATGTGCTGAAAGTGGATTTTTTTCTTCATCCACATATACGCCACGATCATGGAAACTAGCAAAATCCTCTGCCAATACATGACGTACTAAATCAACGTCACGTATCAAAATTGCCGGGCGAAATAATAAATATACACCCAAAAAGCGTTCTTTCGATCTGAAGTAGACATCATGAATTGCCATACCCATGGACTTTTTATGTTTAGCGACGGTTTCCAAACAACCGTAAGGTATTTTACTATTCTGATCATATGGAAAATTACGACGTTCCCAATATGAATATATGCGTTTTATATAATGAAATAAAATCGCTCCTAGTGCCGCTAAAATAAAAACTAACATTTTTATTTAGTCGTAAAACTTCCGATACGTTTGAGAATTTTCACTCGACTGTCGTAGTAATGCGGTTGGCTGTTACTTAAATTTCTTCCGAGCATAAAATGAAAACTAATACTAATAAAAACCATGTTCGTAAATAAAATAAATGTTCGGAAATGTCATTTATCTTTCGAAATAATATAGTGAGAGTCTAATATATACCTGCATCCACGGTTGCCACTTATGGTACTTTAGTACCAAAATTCGTACTTTTTTTTTCGTTTGGTACTCATGTTCAAAAAATGGTACATTTTTGACGACCCAACTTCATTCTGGATATTTCCAATTAATTTTTTTTATAAATGCAACTTTGCACTATTTTATGTTTTGTTCATTTATAACACTATGAAAAACACAGAACGAACAAATAAAAAGGTCCTAAAAAATTTTGGACCTTTTTTTACAGAAATGGTACCCTTTTAAACCAATTTTGGTACAGGAAAAAATTTTCAAGTGGCAACCGTGCCTGCATCATCAGAAATGAGAGCAAATTATTTCGGCAGACAGTACAAGTAAATACCACGCACATGATTAATATTAATTCATTTTTGTTTTTTTTTTCTTCTTGTAACTTATTGTGAGGTTCACTAAGTATACTTATCACTAGCGTCTACTAAATATGTATGATTAGTTTATCTATTAAGCGGCACCTTATCTGATATGTAGTCCAAACATCAGTAGTTTATTAGCAAAGATCAGTAAATAAATTCAAGTAGTTACACTTTTTGCTATAAAAATATATGCAAAGTTATGCAAAATTTAGGTTTGGGTAATTTTCTGTAGATTTTGATAAAATTCAATTTTTTTTAGTCGATTACATTTATTAACAGTTTTTAATGCTATCAAATTGCTGAAAGTGTCTTTTATGGCTGCCATAGTTTTTCGATAATTACTTGTGGATTTTTACTGGTCCAGATGTGACCGTTTCATTTACTGATATATTCACCAATCGATAGATTTACCATCATTATTGCTAAATATATATGATTAATTGTTTGGTCAGTTAGAATAAAATATTGCTACGAAATGGAGGCCACGAAATCAATACCCCTTTTTGTATATTTATCAATAATTTTTTGTATGTTCTTACCAACCTTCAATGTTTCTTATTCTCTGTTTAATGTAGTTGTTGTTATTGTAATTTGCTGGTAACTAGAAACATATAATATAAAAGGATCTACAAAACAAATAGATGGGTTACGATGTGAGTAGATGATGGTTGATAGAAGGTATCTTTACTCTGTCAATAGGAATGTTATTAATCATTAAATTCGTGTTAGTATAAATGTTTTTTCTCTTTACAATTATATGTTTAGTTTTATTTATATTGTTTCGTAGTCCTAATTATTTGCTACTTAAGTGAACTTTGATAACTAGGTCTTATAGACCTGCTAAACTGTTCACGATGAGAGTGATGTCTCCATATCTTACATAGTCAATTAATACACCATTCATTTGACAACCAGTTCAATGTTATTTATTGAATCTTCAAATATATTTTTTGAGTTTATGTTGAATAAAAGGTTTGACAAAATGTATCCCTGCTTTATATTTCGTGACATGGCTACATCATCGGCCATATGACCATTGATATCCACGTGGGCAGTTTGTTGTCAGTATAAAATGTTTATGCAATGAACTTCTTTGTCACCTATTCCCAGATATTGTAGAATTTCCATAAGGTTATCATGTTTAACGATGTCAAAAGTTTTCTTATAATCGATAAAGCTTAGAAATACATATTTCTGATCATCTTTGCAGTTTTGAACTAGAACTATAATACATAATAAAGTCTTCCGAGTTCCAAGTCCTTCCTGAAAGCCAAATTGTGACTTGTTTACTTCTTCTTTACATTTCCTGCATATTCATAAAATATGTAGTAAAAATATATAGTTTGTAAATATTTCATAATTACTATATCTAAATAATAAGAGTATCAAATAAAAAAAAAGAGGAAGAATATAATTTTGATATAATAAAATAAAAAATTAAAATGTTTAAGAATTAAAAAGAAATCATTTACAAACGACTTAAAATACATATTTTTTTATTTATTTATTTTGTTAATACATATAAACACCTTATTAGCATATATTTTATATAACATTTTAATTAAATTTTTTTTTTAGATTTAATTATTTAAATATGTTTTGTAATTATACATTTATTGTGAATTTATATTTATGGAGTATATCATTTAATTTATATATATATTTAAATATATATATATATATCTTAAAAGTACATGTATTCTATTTAAAAATATTTTGTATATTAAATCAGTACACCATAATTTTCTATAATTTATTAAACTTGTTTTTCAATTAGAGAAATTAGTTTAAGTTTAATACGACACCACGTATCTCAATATATTAAGGTTTTATTATTTTTACTACTTTTTGGTATTATCCATAATATATTTTTTTGAAGTTGAGAGAGTTAATTCTGTTAATTATTTGCACATTTTTATTTACAATAAAAAAAATACAATAGAGTAAATTGTTTACATTTTTCATGATTAATAATTAATTAAATTCAAAATATTTCATTATTTTACATTAATATTACGTTTCCAACTACTACATAAACATTAAAAACGATTAAAACAATATTTTCAATTATTAATTAAACACTTAAATCTAATTGACTTTTTAAATTAAAGTTATTAAAATTTAATATATCATTAAATAATAATAATTTATATATATTTTTTAACTTGTTGTTTGCTTTTTCGATAGACGCACATTAACTCCACCTTTGGGTATAATAACAATCGAATAGTTATCGATTTCGATATCTTGTCTTGGCATTATTTCAATATTGAAATTTTGTAAAATCTTTACTACACCCAATTTTGAATTAATTTTACCCATACGTTGTGCTATACAATGACGTGGACCTTCACCGAAAGGCATATAAGCCTTGGGATTGTAATTACTATTTTCAGGTAGAAAACGTTCAGGAATATAGGTTTCTGGATCTGGGAAATGTTCCGGATCACGATGTATACCAAATAGAGATATTACTACAGGTGTGCCCTTTTCGATAACTTTATCAGTGCCAGGAATTTGATATTCTTGAGTACAAACCCGATTTAATAATGGTAAGCCAGGATATTTACGTAGAGTTTCTATAAAATATTTTAATATATTTATTTATTTTAAATTTGGTTGAGTTAATATTACTGACCACTCATACATAATTCCAAGTACTCCATTTTTTGTAAACTTTCATAAGTAATCTTGCCATCATTCTCAGCTAAAACTGTATTGACTTCTTCAGTAACTTTTTTCAGTACGTCAGGATATTGTGCGAGTTCAAAGATTGTCAAAGAAGCTGTTGAAGCTGTAGTTTCCTGACCGGCAATATAGAATATAAAGGCTTGTGCTGCTATTTTCTCAATTGAAATATTCTCAATGAAACTTCCTGTTTTTTTGGGTACATTGGCATTAAAGTTATTATCATCGTCATCAATTTTGCCGGTATTTTTCAATTGAATTAATAATTGTAACATGTCCTTTCGTATAATATTATGTTTTTCACGATATTCGACAGTTTCCTTAACTATTTCGAGCAACGCTACTGCTACCGGATTTTGCAATCCAATTTTACGGAATACAAACTTGACTAACCTGAAAAAATTATTTAGGATTATAGAATAAATTAAATATATAGAGGTATTTTTATATTAAATGTAGTATAAATGCAGTGTACAAAAAAAAAAATTTTAATGTACTAAATTTAAAAGCATTTAAAATGCATAAAACTAATATATTAAAATTATAACATATAAAATAATAATAATATTATGGGTTATATATTATGTATATTATATGTGTTCACACACACTTCATTTAGGTACACCAATAATTACTCGTATATGAGTGTGAGTAATGAAGGTTAAGTTTAAGGTATTTGAATACTTTTCTTATCAGAGGTATTGATTAAATGGATTAACGTTTCTTATTAATATTTGCAATAGCGATAATAGTTATCTGTGGACGCACTGAAAGATATAGTATCACTGTCAGACGCTACGATAACAAAATAAGTTTATGATATCACTTACAAACTACTACTATTGTTATTACGAAATGTTTAATATATTTTTTATTGAGTTATAAACATTTTTTGCTAGTGAATTTTATTAATAGAATTTTTTCTAAGTTTGTTTTTTATTTTTAATTTTGAGGCAACCCCATATTACACACTTGAAGTGTTAATCATAAACTATCCCTTGTTAAAGCTTTTATTAAATAGATTATACTTTTATAATTTGGTGTTGATTATCGGAAATATTATATTATCGGAAGTAAGGATTTAATATATGGACAGTGCTATATTAGTGAGCTTAGACTCTATATAATATATTAAAAGTTGAACATTTCTGCAAAAATATATTCTATGTGTTCTCTGTAGTTTTCAGTTATAAGAGGATTTCCACGTTATAAACAATAATTTTTAGAGTATTCTACTTACGCTGGACATAAAAATACAAGCATGCCTAAAATTGCACCAAAGTGTGTGTTCCTGTGGGCTAGACGCACCACATTTCTGAATTTGTTGGTGGGGTTTTCATAGCTGTTGATATCCAAACCGAAAATTGTGGATCCAATAATATCAATAGCATAACTATAAACAAATACAAATTATCTTAATTTTAATAATTTTTTAAAAGCTATTTTAAACTCACGTTGTAAAAATTTCCTTTAAATCAATTTTTGCACTACCCTTTTCCGGTATTAATGTATTTAAATGGGCAACCATTCTATCACCAACTTCTTCTGAACTACTGAACATAGCCTTTAACTTTCCGGATGTGAAAAGAGGTGCTAACTTAATACGTAATTCACGCCAACTTTTGCCTTCTAACGAAAATAAGTTCGCTGAAAGTGGATCATTTTTTTCATCTACATATGTACCACGATCATGGAAATGAACGAAATCTTCCGCCAATACACGACGTACTAAATCGACATCACGTACTAGAATCGCCGGTCGGAATAATAAATAAACACCCAAAAACTGTTCTTTCGATCTCAAGTAGACATCATATATTGCCATACCCATTGATTTCTTATGTTTGGTAACCGTTTCCAAACAACCGTAAGGTATTTTACCTTCATGATCGTATGGAAAATTCCGACGTTCCCAATATGAATATATATGTTTTATAAAGTAAAACACAATCACTCCTAATAGAGCTACAATCAATAGAACCATTTTTATTCAGCTACAAAACTTCCGATACGTTTGAGAATTCTCATTTGACTGTTTAAATAAATTGTTCGTATATTATTTAAATTTTATTTAGCAATAAAAAGAATACTCATATTATCGCTAATAATATGTTCATAATCAAAATATACTTTTATTTGTAAACAAAACACGCTCCTCTCAGCAAACCAAGATATTATTAGAGTTTTTGTTTTGTTTTTATTTCGCACTCAGTTTAGTAAATTTATTTTGAGCTACAGAAGTGGTTTGGTTACTTTGTTTATAAGATAACATGATTCATGTTTTTTTGTTGGACACAGAAAAGAAGATTTCTGAACTTAGATTTGTCATATATCTATATTCTAATCGAGTATTCTAATCGTTCTTTGTGGTTACTATTACAGTTCTTAAGACTATGAATGCGATGTATTGATTTTTTTAATCTATATTATAGGTATAAGAAAAATTATAATTATAATTTGGTTTGTATTATATTATTTAAATTTTTACATTATCATTCTAATATATTTTTTCTCCTGTTTCTTCTCATTTCTCATTAATTCATTTAATTATTAATAATAAACATTAAATAATTAATATTAATTAATAAATTATTAAATAATTAATATTAAATAATTATTAATTAATAACTATTTAATAATAATTAACTAATATTTAATAATTAAATAATTTTTATCTATTAATTAATATAAATAATAATTAATTAATAATAAATAATTAATTAATATAATAATTAGTTAATTGATAATAATTAATTAGTTAATTAATATTTAATTCATAATAATTAATTAATTAATTAATTAGTATTAATATTAATTAATTAATTAATAATTAATATTAATTAATAATTAATAATTAATATTAATTAATTAATAATTAATTAATAATAATTAATTAATAATTAATTAATAATAATTAAAGGTTTTAATTTATTAAATTCAAAATAAAATTATATGTAAACTAAGTTTTAAATATGATCGTTAAAAATGAATGAAAAGTATTTATTAATTTAATATATTTTCTTATAGCAGTTCATATAAGTCGACTCTTTAAGTCTTATTTCAAAAGGTTATGGTGTAGTAAATATCTCTATCAGCAGGTGTGAGAGTAAATATCTCTATCAGCAGGTGTGAGAGAAAAAAATTCCAGTTGATAATATTAATTGAATATAGCCCATGTGACTAATATTTAAAAACATTTGTTTTTAAAACAAATTTTAAGGCTCACTAAGTGTTCTTAGTGACTGTGCATATTCCACAATAATGATTAGTTTTATCTCAAAGTTCATACCTTATCTGATATGTAGTCCAAAAATCAGTGTTTCACAAGTAATATTATGAAAAAAAATTTTAAGTAGTCACACTTTTTGTTACAAAAATAAATGCAGAGATAAAAAAGATAATAATTAAAAAACTGAGTTGTTTGCAAATATCTATTGATTTTGATGAAATTCAGTTGCTTTTCAGAGCAGGCTGAAGTATTATCAATAATATTAATGTAAACAATGGTGCTAAAGATTATGTTTGGGGTTAAAACCAGTATTTATCTGGTTTTGTTTATACTGTCAACTTGTATATATATGGTATTATATTAAAATATAGTAGAAATTCAGTTTACTTTGTGTTTCGGTTAAGATTCTATTTAAAACCAAAGGAACTCAATCAAAGTGTAGAGCTTAAATTTAAATTTAAATACATTTATTTTTGTCAAGTCATTTTGCTTCTTTATAGTTAAAAATTTAATGAAGTTAAAAATTTTATTTTCATTATTTATTATTTTTTTACAAGCAGTATTTATAATTTCTGAGCAAATTCACTTTTCAAATGTTTGTTATGAGTATAAGTGGGGAGAAATATATTTATCGTTAATAATAATTTTTCAATTTTCTACATTCAAAAATTATAATAATATAATTTTGGACTGAGAAACAGAGAATTGTATACACTTTAAACCTTACATGTTATTTTGCGTATTTATTTGTGAGCCAGATTTTAGCAAATATGATCGACGTAGAATGAAAGCTCCAACGCGCAATCTTTTGTGTTTTTCACACAGTTCTGCTCTAACGTATGATTAAGCTACAGTAGCTTAGTATTGTATATAATATAATTGGACCACACTGAGAGTCGTCAATTACTGTAGCCAGCGAGTGCAGATTAATTTTACATCACACATCACTTGCGATTCCCGGTTAGATGCCCCATTAGATGCCCAATTTTGCGGATACCACTAAAGCAACTTTATTTTATTGGACGTTTTAACATACAAAGCTTCAACGTCTAATCACTTTAGTTTTTAGTGTACATAATACATAAGACAGTTTTTAATAAACTGGCAATTCTGCACATTTTTCTGATATATGATATAGGAATTAATAAAAACCACATTTGAAGTAATCCTCTTCACTCTAGTAAAGCAAGTACATAGTGCTGAATTTATTTCAAATATGTAAAAAAGGCAGAAACTGATCATATAAAGAGAAAAAGGAATGGAATATAAAAAAGTGCTTGCTTACTGCACTAAAACCTGGAATAATAAAAATAGAAAAAATTTCTGTAAAGAATAAAATCACTCGTACAAATGCTTTCAATTTTAAAATAATGCATTTATTAGATTGACCAATCATTCCTTAAAACCCACTATTTACAGTTATTTCTTTCTAATTTTTTTATTAAAATACTAATTATAAGTATTTATAAAGATTAAATGTTAATTTTTATTTATACATTACCCAAATTAGTCACTATTAATTAAATAAAAGAAGATAATTTTGTGTTTTATGTGAAATTCTAACAACAAATTAACTCTATGTTTTATGTGAACTTTGAAGAACAAATAAACTCTATATAATTTGTTGTTAAAAGATATAAGAGTTAAACTAAAATAAATGCTAAGATAAGATAAGATAATAAGATAATTGAAAAACTAACTCTAGTAACACATTTTATATAAAAACAAAAGTGAACATTGGTAATGAAAGTATTTACATTTAATATAAATTTTTATCATTAAAGTGGTATATTATATTAAATTATTTAATTTATTTATTTTAATAAATCATGCATTTGTGTAGTGTTGGGAAAGTATTTTTTATGTTTTAATAGCTAAAAATATTGTATACTTTTAGTTCTAAACACGATCAACCAAGTACTGCTCTATAGCGAATTTGTAGTTTTATTGACTTTAAAGATGTCTTCTGTGTCAATATTGATAAAAAAATTTTTTAATACGATCTATGAAATTGAAATCCACAAAATTGCATTTCTGGAGATCTCTTACTTCCAAAGAGATTCATCTTGCTATAAGGGTTGCTGTTGTTGTGTAAGCTATTATTATAATATATATGATATATATGTATTATGTATCTCTTCTTATTCGGTCTTCGTATTTTGCTTTATATATTTGGTACTTGTAAGGAATTGAATAGTTGTTACTCTACAGTTGTGGATCACAGCTCAAATCTATTCAGTTTCTCCCCAAGAAATATTGTTGACATATTTAATATTCTCAGAACACTTTCTTTGCAAATGCCTGAAACTAATGAAATGGTGTTACTCCGTAATGAAAAGCTATGAACTAATGACCTCAAAATCTTAATACAGATCTTCAAAAAATAATCTTAATTAATCATAAAGACTGCTTTTAAAACTTCATTTTTCATTACTGTATATGTGATATCAAAAGGACACCTAGGCGTTTCTTAGACAAAAGAAGAAACTCCGTTGCCATTAAAACCAACAATGTATTAAATTAATATAAAAAAATAACAAAAATCATAAAATTGAATTCTTTAAGAATTTTGACTAAACAAATCTTTTATTAAAGCTCACTTAAGAAGAACTATAAATCTTTAAATTAATATATTCTCCTAGTATATTATCATCTTAACTGTATTTATGTACTTCAGTAAATCCATTTATTTGCATCGGTAATTTTTGTAGATAAATTCTTGAATACTTAATGTTATTTAGTGAGAGAAAATATTACCATAAATGCTTGTAAAGTTCAATTTATAGTGACTCGATGGCAAATAACATAATCAATAAAATATTATTGAAGTCATAAATTTGAAAATTTTTCGTGCTCTGTAAGGACTTCCAGCATTGACCCAAAATGTAATATTCCATGTACTTTCGACATAACTCACCTGTTTTTACTGTCAACACTTGACAGGATTCGTAAATGCCAAAATGGCAAGGATATTAAAATAATATATGAATGTGACAAATTCTCATAGCTTTTATTGTATCCTGGCTTTCCATTCCTGTCACTGTCATAAAATATTATTACATAGACGTTACCGTTTATAGTACAAAAAATTGCTATGTAAAGAACATTTTGAGAACAAATATTTTGAAAAGTCCATATTCGTTATAATAAATATTTTAACGAATAGTGCAAGTGAAAAGTTAATACGTTAATATGTAAATAAAGTATTTACCAAAATTTTAAGTAATAATGTATTATAAATAAAATATATAACAATTTCGATTTAAATCAAAAATATATTTATATTGCTATTTATTTTTTTTTTCTTGTTTTTTTTTCCAAATTTAAAAATTCCATTTCAAATTTTTTATAAAAAACAGTTTTAATAATTTATAGTTTTAATAACAAAAACTTTTTTAATAATAACATTGTTTTTACACGGGCTAATTAGTCAATAGTTAAATAATACACTTTTTGAAATAAAAAATAAAATTAAGCTTTGGTAATAATAAATAAATAGAAGATAATGTGAATATGAATGTAAATTTTTTAAATGTTTTAAAATATAAATTTAAAAAAATATATATTAATTGAAAACATAAATTTGAAAAAATATTTTTTGAAATTAAAAAAAATATAAATATTTTAATAAAATATAGAAAAATTTTAAATAAAATAAAAAAATATAAATTTAAAAAATTAAAAAAAAAAAATTTCCAGGGGACACCCGGGTTTGAACCGGGGACCTCTCGATCTGCAGTCGAATGCTCTACCACTGAGCTATATCCCCACGTACAATTGGAGTGCACAAGTTGCAATATAACAATAGTATT